CTCTTTCTCTAAGGTAACAATGGATGAAAGCAGAGGTTGTGTAATGAGATTGTAGGCGTGTCGTTTATACAAATACCATTCTGACCTAACAAATAGTACTACGGTCTTAAAACAGGCAGCTTTGGAATGTTTATTGCGATAAAGAACTATTTTTGCTCTCAATAAAAAAAAAGTAGTTAAAACAGAAAGTGTCGAAGTAAAGACATTGTTGTTCAGCTAAATGAAGAATTAACATTTTATTGATTTTCAGCCCAAACAGCTCATTTCCTTTAAGTTTATCAGTACTTTTTTGGAACACGCTATACACGAACGATTGTAATAAAAAATAGAACATTTATTTTCAACCTCAATAACGTATGTGCTATAAATATAAATCAAACAAACGAATAGCATTTTAAGATAAACTGCGAATATAAAAAATGTATTTTTAATGGCCCTTAGCCCTTGTTCCCGTTTAGAATTTCATTTTAGAAAGTTATTCATATCTTGTTACGTAAGGATCTTATCAGCATATTATAGGTACCTTGTCAAAGCTTTGAAGAGATTACATAAGGAATCCGAGGATTTTATCTGTAATTCTATTATATCTGCAATACTTAACATAATATTTAAAATGTATCTTTAGTATTAAAAATTGATTTTTTATGTTTACGTTGAACAGAAAAAGAAAATATGAATAGTTTTGGAAGGTAATATAAATATAGATTGTCTTTTAGGTTAGGTTTTAATATTATTATAGCCCGTTAAAATTAGTTTAATGCTAACGAAGAGATTTTCTGTTTTAAGTTAATAACAAAAGTAAAAATAATTGTATGATATAGAAATATTTTTTTGCAACTTATATTTTTTAATAATAATATAATATTCTCACAAATATAACTTCTGTTTGTATTACCACTTAATCCACATTAAATTACAAAAAAAAAAGATCGTATAGCATTTTTTCTTTACAAACTTTGTCGAATCTCATAAAATTAAATCAAATAAAATGATGCAATGTTTATTACCGGGTTTTTCCTCGATTTCCGCCTCATTAGGTATTCATGAAAAAAGTTTCCGCTGAAAAGAAAATAGGGAAATGATCAGAATCAGATACAAGACAAGTTGTACATTTATAGTCTGAAAATCCTTTAATTATCGAATTTCGTCCCTTTCAAACTCAATTAACCCTCGGAAACATTTTAAATATGGCAGGTCTTTAATAAATTTCGCCAAAGAAAAATAATATTGGAAATCTGTCGGAAAGTTTAATTAGTTTATTTATTATTTTATAAATATTTGATAAAATTAACATTAAAATAGGCACTAATAGAAAGAGGTCAAGTTAAAAATCATTTTTGGGGGTACACAATCACATGCAAATGATTATTAGATTTAAAAAGGTGAATACCATTGAACGTAAGACGTAGGTCTAAACTCTGCACAACAGGCATATTGGTAGAATATGTAATGTCTTAATGAAATTATAAAAGTAATAACTAAAATTAAATTGGTTTCATTGGATTTTTTTATTAATTACTGGAGCACTTAAATCTCTTAACAAGGCCAATGAATAAATTAGAGGCAGCATACAAAACGTGGATGAAAATGCGTAAGTTACAAATTTTTAATATCCTATACTTGAAATCAATTCTAAGATTAAGTAGTCAACAAGGTGAAAAAAATATTGTTTTCTGGCAATTCTGAAGGGTTGAAATTAAATCAAGGGTATCCCTGATTTAAAATTTTAGAATCCAGGTTATAAATAAGGAATGGATAGATCACAATAAGGAGAATTAGGAATTTATAATTTTAGAATCCTCTGTTATTGCTTATCTCATCAAAAAAATATATCCAAAATATTTTGTCTAGGTAGAATTGATAAAAAAAGAAATACTATTTATTTGGAAAATTATATTTTGAGTCATCATGTCTAACTACAAAAATTAAAAAACTAATCGACTTAAATGAGGGACATGAGCCGACATGGCATGATGAACATTACTAAATAAGTGACCGAATTTTGCCTAAATTTTGTGATAGTCTGAATATTCTGGAATAGACAGTATTTTTTTATATCCACTTACACTGCTGATAGACATACTAATTGTTGTGCCATTATAAACCGGTGGTGTTCCTGCGCTGGTTTTGGCAAGTAGGATTGAATTTCGTTCTAGAGTAGAGTATTTTTAGAATAATTTATATTGAAACCCAGAAAACCAGAAAAGTCATTAAGAATCGCTCGACTTTCTAATGATCTATATATTTATGCAAGAATAGCAAACGTCTATTCTGCGTAATTCAAAGAGTAGGATCATAAAAGATAAAGGTAAATGAGTGTTTCGTCTCAATGAAATCGTTCGATTTCCTCGTAGAAAATATCGCTCGGTATTTTAACAGACATTATTTTTATATAGAATTACTGAAAAATTATTTAGAAGGGATGACGTAAGTTCCCTTGTAAAATTCGAGAACAACAGAAAAATCATCAAGAATCGCTCGACTTTCTAATGATTCATATTTATGCAAGAATAACGAACGTCTATTCTGTTAATTCAAACAGTAGAATCATAAAAGACAAGATTAAATGAATATTTCGTCTTAATAAAATCGCTCGATTTCCTCTTAGAAAATACCGCCTCGTATTTTAAAAGATCATAAAACTCACAACTTCGCTGTATAAAATCAATTTAAAGTTACAGGTTCTCATTTTAAACTAACAAAATTTACTTAACCTCAAACGAATCTATAAAAATTAATTTGACGGAATTTTATTCATAAAAAAACATCTGAACTTTTGTTTACATTTCTTTTAAGTTCCCCAACATTTCGTGCTTCTGCCAGCAACAAACTTCTTGACGGAAAGTTACGCATCGGATTTATACATTCGTACCGCTAAAGGGCCCTACATAATTATCTTTTCGTCTGTTTTTGTGGGTCGCGATGTTTTCGTAGCGTCTCCTTTAATTTCTCCAACGTTTCGCTTTGATAATCTTGAAAAATATTTGGTGAGCATTATGTGCTCGTTGGATTTTTTTTTACTTTCCACGACCATTTGAAGACGCGATTTAACGAGAAAAAAATTGAAGTGACGAAAGTCATGTTGGTGAGAAATTTTATGAAGGTGGTAGCGTAAATTGTTTTCATCCAATTATTTGGTTCTTATTTATTGAAGAAAGAAGAAAATGTTAACATTACAGAGGTTGCGATGAATATATAACTGATGTTCAAATGTTGAAAGTTAAAGAAAAAAAAAGGGGGAAGAAAAGAAAATATATAGAACTTTAATGAAGAAGAAATTTACCAAAAGAAATATTTTTAAATTTTAACTGACTTAAAAATTGCAAGAGAAAATTGAACTGTAAGCTCACAATTAGTTCAAAGGGGGTTGGTTCTCACTACTTCGGATTCACAGAGGAATTTTTGCTAGTAGTAACTAGTATGAAAAAGACAGTAACAAGAAATAAGGACGTCAGATATTTTAGGTAAATATTAGATAAATAGTGCTTCTATTTCTTTATCCTAAAATATAACTCTATGGCTATACGGTAAGAGATAAAAGAAATGTTACGATAATTTATCTTCTTAACTTCCACGACGTCGGCTGGACGATCTCTTCTGAAAGTAAGCAGGGCCTGGTGTTAGGCCGGTGTTCTAAGATCAACCGTGGTGCTGTTTTGTAGCTGGTGGTGTTATTCGTTCTTCCTGCAGAAAGGAAGAGATCCTTCAGCTTTAAAACTTGAGTGAGTGATGATAATCCTACTCTGACTTTGTTTCTTTTCCAGAGTATTTTTATGTGAGCCTAGGTTGGTTTTGTTGTTGTTAGGCACAGTGAATTCGATGGTACTTAAAACAGAAAAGCACGATACCTCGAACACATTTTGGTAGAGAATTTATGTTTCCCCTTACTCGTTCGGTCAAATCGATCGCGTACCTGTCCAATTTCTTTATTTAGAATATTAAAAATTTAATATTTGAAGATTGTGTTACGAGGGGATGATAAAATTTACCGTAACAATATGATTTCCTATTTGAATAATTCCTTAATCTAGTTTTTCTCTGTACATACTCCTTTAGTAAGAAAAAAGTTACGAAACCGCTTACTCCTTGATATACTTATAATCTAACAATAATGGTTTCATTAAGAGACAAAGTTTTAAAAAAATATAAAAAAATATAAGACCGCAGTAAATTGGACTAGCTATACCTAACCCAACAAATTTACTACTGGATCTATTCGACGAGAGAAAGAGGCTTATTTAAACTTTGTTCTTGGAGAAAAGAATTCCAAGACCACCTGGAACACCCTTAGAAATTCTCAGAAAAGAAGCCAGCCCTGATTTACCATCTAATTTAAGTAATGTTACTGAAATAACAAACATTTTACAATTAGCTTTACTTGATCTTAACTATGAAAAAATAATTCAAAATAAATTCGAATTTACATCTGTCTCTTCTGATTCAGTTCGAAAATCTCTAAATCATTAAAAGTCAATCCGTTGGTTTAGTTAATATATCATTATTGATTCAATCATTTTAGATTTAAATATAATAAAATAATTTGTTCTTCCTATTATCCACTTTCGTGGAAACAGACTGAAACTTGATGAATAAAGACGATTTATTATTATTGTTATTATTATTATTTTTTTTAGTTTGATGTCATCGACTACTTCGGTTATTAGCCTCGTGTTCTTTGTAGTCTTTGTTACTGTTTCAGAGCGCCACTTTAGGATCAACACATTATTATTATTAAAAAATTTAACTTCTTAGTAAATTAATTTTTTTTGTCAAAATTATGTATGCAATTCTTATGTAATGATTACTACATGACCTTTGCTATACTATTTTGATATAACAAAATCTAGACCATGAAAAAATAATTATTATTGCTTATATTTGAAATACTGTCTATATTTCTTGTAAAAAGTATTGATATCGATATTATCAATACCCCCGCATTTTTTTCGGCAAAACATAACTTGTTTACCCAGAAATCTAATCCCCTATTTTTATTGCAGATGATTCCGTGAAAGAGCATCCCACTCAAACCGACTTCTCAAATTTCCTAAAGGACAGTAAACACCCATCCTCTTAGCCGAGGATAGAAGTTATCACCGAGATGGCCGTTCTCCAGTAGGACAACTCATTCGCCGCTATCTGCCCGATTCCAATCCACCCCCGAAATAATATGAACGCTTCTTTATACGAAGAAGAGGAAATTTTCAGAACGAACGTTACACTAGAACAATGCCAAGCGCAATACGCTAACGAGTCGCAATTCTTATCCCAACAATACCCCGAAGGATATTGTAGGGTTACATTCGATAGGGTTTTATGTTGGCCACCCTCGCCTCATAATACGACAGCGAGTATCAAGTGTTTCTCGGAGTTGTTTAATATCAAGTACGACGATACACGTAAGTAAAACAATAATTTGTTAACTATGAAGATAAATTTAAGAAAAATAATATAACAAATTTATAATTTTTTAATGTATGTTAACAGAAGGGATGTATCATCCCTAATAAAGTTAACATAACTAAAACCGAAATATATAATGAAATTTATTTTTTTTCACCCAATAAATTTTTTTAACAGAATATATTTTAGCTCATAGATAACAAATAAATTTTAACAAATTCTGTAGTACTATTTACATAATTGCGTTTGATCCATTGTGTAGGTACTCTGGTATTTCCTATAATACGAACAAATAATAGCCACTGTTGATAAAACATTCTTAGAAACGAGGGCGGGCTCTATTTGACCGCTATTAAGGATTAAAAGTTTAGGTAATTTTCTTAAAATTTTGTGATTCATCTGACCGTGACCGTTTTAAAAATCTTAGAAAATATACACTACTGAGCTTTAATAGTAGCCATTAAGATCGTTTGAAGGTGTGTCAGCAGTGCGCAAAGTTTACCCCACTACTGACAAATTAGGATGCGATGCCTGTATACGTTCTATAAATCTCTTTACATTCTCCCACTTCTTTGCATCCCCTTCACCCTTCACTTCGTCTTCAAGTCTTCTTCAACGTCTTTTCAACCGAAACAGACTTGAGTTTATTATTTTTTTAGTGCAAATAACAATTAAATGACAATCCAAGTTGAATGCTGTTTATCCCGTTTGAATCGACTTAGTAATAGCGGAGATATTCGTTAATGCCTTTTTACTACTGTCGATTTATTTTAAATAACAACTAAGTTTGTGTTTAATGTAGTTTGATCCATTTCATTTGGATTAATATTAGATATCGATAGATTTAGGTTCTTTTAGCCAAATATAGAACTGATGTTACATTGGTGGGATAAATTGGAGAAGTTCTATAAAATTTTCATATTCATAAGTTTTATACTAACTGGTTAAGGAAATGGAGGCTGTAACTGAAAGTTAACCTAAACTGTAAACCACCATTGATAATATTTTAAATTGCACAATACATTCTAATGTTGTCTTGTAAAAGAGGGTTTCTGGATATGACTTTTTTAAATAAGTAATTTGCATTCCTTGAATCCAGTTTACTCTTTTTTGGGAATACCAATAAAAGAAATCATCTTCTATCAGTTTTACTTTGAATTTTCAGCTTGAAGATGAGTCCAAATCTATCCAGTCTTCTACAAGTTCGAAATGTTGGTAGCAATTATTATATGAATAGTCTGATATGAAAATCCTGTATGTAAACCTTTTAATTTGATTATTTTTCACTACTCAAAGCCCAAATTGTCTGATTTATTAAATAGTATGTATGTATTTATAAGCTGTCTGAAAATACAAGACTGTTTTACAATGTGATCTGCTACTGTACAAGTTAGATATAAAGGGATCTAAATGACATATATGACTTTATTGGGTATTTAACTGGTTTTTTAGAAATGTTACATAAGCTTCATGTGTTCTAGAGTCTACAATTAAATCTTTTATATTTTTAATTAGATCAGTTCAAAAAATAAACATTACTTAGTTATGATTACTACATTTTCCAGATCGAAGAAAGCAAACTTTGCATGAATGACAACTTCTTTTATTTTTATTTCCTTTTTTTTCTCTAAACGCTAATATGAAAACGTATATTTTATAAATAGAAATGTCTCTTTTTAAATTGCCCAAATCAAGTTATAAAACGAATTTTAAAATGCGCTGGAATTGTTTTTTACTAGAATCCCATCTCCTAAATGAAATGATGTATTTCCAATTGATCTAATCTTCAAATCGACTCAAGATAGAAAGCTTACATCTAAAATGGAGATATCCAGGTCTCTTTTCATAACATTTAAAAATACGGTGCCTTTTGCAAGTCGAAGAAAAATATAAAGAAAAAAGTATTCGATACAGAATTTAAATTGGAATTTCATGCTTGAGATCCGTTTTTTTTCAAGTCATAACTTCGTTGACGGTGAGATTATATCCTTAACAGAATGGAAAAAGAAAACAATTTATTTCTAGTTATTGAGTCAGTCTGAATTGAATCTTTTGATAAGTTTCTATTTCATTCATAGTATTAAACGATTTTTAAAGATTTTGCATATTAAGAATAATAATTATTAATTTATTATCAACAGTAAGAGCTTTTTTTATCATAGGTATTATTACGAGTCCTCCAAATTTTACCACTTTTGACTGATATAAAGGCATTTTATCCAATAAAATTGTGTACGACAAGTGTTATTTGAGAAGATTACTTTTAGACAAAAACTATTTCAAAATAGACAATTATCCAGTAACCTTTTCTCTATTTTAATTTTGAATATTTGTTGGTAAAGAATTAGCAATACAAGAAGACGTTGTGGTTCTTACTTTTTCTATAATTCTTATATGATTTTCTTCATCAATTTTTAGTGAAGATTCTTGTACATGTATAGTTATTTTATGACTTTTTGTTTCTGAACTTCTGCCTTCATCATAAGTTGTGTTTTTTTCATCGTATTAATTTATTACATTCTTATATTCTTCTTCTTCTTCTTCTTCTTCTTCTTCTTCTTCTTCTTCTTCTTTTTCTTCTTCTTCTTCTTCTTCTTCTTCTTCTTCTTCTTTTTCTTCTTCTAGTATCACAGCAATTTGATTTCTTTTTGACAAAGTGACAAATAATTAATTTTGACTAATGACGTATTTATACAGGAAAAAGTATTTGTAATAAAATTTTTAAAACATCCACATATAATAACATAAATGACAATTTATTTTACTATGGAGATATATTATGCAATTTCTCAGCAGATATCGATAGAAATAACTTTCAACGAAAAAACATTATATTCGTTTGTTTTATCAAATAACATCTGAAAATGTTCTGCAAAAAATTCTTTTATCCAGAACTTTTAAAATGCATAACATTTCGCTTGAATTACATTTGTGTTTCTTTAAAAAATATTTCGTGAACAGAATATATTATATACTCAATCGAATATTCTTCTAATATTTTTCTCTGAATATTTAAATTTGTTTTGAAACAACATCAATTTGCATATACATATTAGTGTGATATTGAGTTTATTAAAAAGTATTTTTATGCTTAATGCTCATTTTGTTTCATACTGTCGTCATAAGCAAAACCACAGTAACTAGACTAACTATAGAATGGAGTTTATAGTAACCAAATATATTTTGTACATTTCGGGAAGGAAATTAAATATTTTTCCACTTAGATATAACAAAAATCTTTGTGAAGTTGACTTAATAACAAGGTGAGTATATACCTCTTGTTTGATAGTTAAAGGTCTTTTTTTGTGTAAAATATCTTTGTTTGTAAGTGTCCATTAAAACTGCATAAATATAGGGTTGTAATTAACTGAACAGTATTTAATTCATTATGTACAGTATAATATTACAAACAGTCAGTAAAATATTGTAAAAAACTCAGTACTTTTATAAAATATGATGAGTAAACATTAAATTTTGTAGCAGTAAAATTACTATTTGGCCTGTATTTCTATGTCCACTTTTGTAATTATAATGGTCAGTAAAAATTAATGAAATGTCAGTATGAATTAGCCGGTATTAATTCTACAAATGGTCAGTAAGAATTAATAAATGGCCAGTATGCAGTAGTCGGTATTAATTTTAAAAATGTGCATTAAATAAGTAGTATTATGTTTTTAGATCGAGTGTTTCATGTTTTTGAGCTACCTGTTTGCAGCAAAGAAGAAACTGAAGATTTTGTTTTCTGTTTAAAACAATTAAGTCTGCCTGTCAGGATATATTTCAAAAATCAATTGCCCCAAAATACACTCGCGTATCGGGGACAACACTAATGATTTGTAATTGAGGTGGTGGGTATGTTTGTGTGAATGCGTCTTGTTTGTTTTCATTTACTAGCAGTAGTATTTTATAAACCATAGAAGCAAATTTCACATACATGAACAAATACTATTAATGCCGTAACAACAAGAAGACAAAGCAAAGACTTCTCGTAGGGTGTCGGCTTCGCCGCCACCAAAAATTTTTAATCCATACCTGGCTACGCCGACCGGCATAAACACCAACGGCCTGGACACAGCTCACCTACTCTGTCAAAAGGAGACCGATGTACAAATAAAACGCGTATTATTATACTGATCATTTATTATTTTCACCGACCATTTAATATTATACTGACCATTTATTATTTTTACTAACCATTTATTATTTTTACTGACCATTTATTATTTTTACTGACCATTTATTATTTTTACTGACCATTTATTATTTTTACTGACCATTTATTATTTTTACTGACCATTTATTTTTATACTGACCATTTATTATTTTCATCGACCATTTAATATTATACTGGCCATTTATTATTTTCCCCGACCATTTATTATCATACTGACCAACTGAAATAAAATACTGGAAAAATGTACTTGCCATAAAATTTAAATAATGATCATTTAATTTGTTCCCATAAATATATAACTGTCTGATATTCATAATTTTGATACCTAACTTTTTTACTGTATATGATTTTAAGTACTCTTTTTTGAAGTAAGTATTTCCAGTTTTTTCAGATGATTTTTTGTGGTAGCCCCCTAACAGATAACGGAGTATTGAAGTCTGCTTTGAACAAGTGCGTCATAAATAATTTTACGATGAGTAACGCTTAATATATTTTTAAGGAATTTAAATTTGAAGAGCAACATTCTTAAGGTATTGGTTAGATTATTTACATGTTTATCGTAAGTGGCAGTCTAGAGTAACACCTAAGTATTTAATTTTATTTTGTTTTTGTAAGATAATTTCCTGATTGTTATAATTGATACTAATTTTATTATAAGCTGGTAAGCTTGCAAAGGGCAAAAAAATGATTTATTGTAGTTTATAGTAAGTTTTTTATGAGTGCACCAATCTATAATAATCTATATAAGTCATTTTTTGTTTTATATTTTAGTTCTTCCCAGGTATTTGCTTCGTAAAAAATAGCCATGTCATCAAAAAAGTC